GGCGTCTCGGGCTGTCTTGGGGCCCTCTTGGGCCATGTTGGGAACCTCTTGGAGGATCGTCTTAGAGTGATCTTGGGGGCATCTTGGGCCGTCTTGGAGCGTCGGGAAGCGGAAGAGGCGAGAACGCCAAACTCCTTCAAAAACCATCGGGCAATGAATGAATGTTGCCTCCAGGGGCCTTCTTGGGAGTGCACCTGGAGGCCTCTTGGGGCGTCTTGCAGGCCTCATGGACCGTCTGGAGGCCGTCAAGGCGTCTTGGAAAGATCTTCCGGCGATTCGGCGCCCTCTTGGACCGTCTTGGAAGCCTCTTCGGGCACGTTTGGCCGGTCCTGGGGCTTTTTTTGGAACCCAGGAGCCGCATCCCCAGGCAAACTGCGAGGATGTATCGAGTGCTTGCCTGTGGGTGAACTGCGAGGAAGCCTCGAGCGGGAGCCCGCCTCTGCTTGCGGGGCCCCCGCCTCGTGTTCCTAGTCCCGGGCGGCCACAGGGATAGCTCGCAATACCACAGGATGGGTGACCCCCGGGAGCCTGAATCCCGAGGCTGGGTAGTCGAAGGCCAGACTGTCAGATTGGATTGGGCCCCCAGGGCCAATCTGGCCTGGCCAAACTGGATGATTTGGGCCATTTGCCAGACTGGATTCGCGTTGGCTCCCTCGCCAGATTGCCCCCGTTTGCCAGATTGGGCCTGCCAGATTGGCGCCAGATTGGCTTCGACTACCCAGCCTCCTGGAGTTTGAATATTGAGGATGTCTCGAGCGGGAGCCTCGTTCCGTTGTCGAGCGTCCGTTGTCATCCGAGGTGGCCATTTTCAATTAGACTTGCAAGCGTCGGCAAGGGCCAGCTGATATTTTACAGGAAAAGAGCCTGCCAGATTGGGCCTGCCAGATTGGCGCCAGATTGGCTTCGACTGCCCAGCGAGGAGGTCTCGGACGGGAGCCGGAGGGATTTTTCGGGCCCTCGCCTGTGAGTGGCTTGCGAGGAGGTCTCGAGCTGGAGCCCCCTCCCAGTGGGGCCCACGCTTCGCGTCATAAATCTGGAGCGGCAGTGAGGCCCTGTAGAAGCACAGGTTCGGTGACCTCTTGGAGCGAAGGATTGCAAAAAAAAACCCAGGATTGCAAATGATTGCAAAAAAAACCCAGGATTGCAAAAAAAACCCTTGTTTTTTTGCAATCCTGGGTTTTTTGCAATCCTTTGAATATTGAGGAAGTCTCGAGCGGGAGCCTCGTTCCGTTGTCGAGCGTCCTTTGTCATCCGAGGTGGCCATTTTCAATCAAACTTGCAAGCGTCGGCAAGGACCAGCTGATATTTTACAGGAAGAGAGCCTCCGTAGTTACAAGGACGACGATGAGGATCACTTCCAGATTAGTTTGGAGGATTCACGCGGGGTCCTGCCGTCGGAGTATTTTTTGAAGAGGTTTGCCATGGCTTACTAGGTATTGCTACTGTTTCTAAAGAAGCGTTCATCGGTTTGATCGGTCTCGTTGCCTTACTGTGTGTGAAGAGGCTTTCCTCGGATTGATCGGCCTTGTTTCCTTACTGCACTCCTCGGGTTGTCCGGTCTTGCCTCCAAGCAACGTCAGTCAATGCCAAGCAAAGCATCAATGCCAAGCAATGCCACTTGCCAAGCGCTCCCCAAACTGCGGTCGCGCCGGGTTCATCTGGTAAGCATCAGGACAAGGCGGAAGTCTCTCAAGCGAATCGACAGGCCCGCCCTACGGGCACGTCTGGTGCTGCGACAGGGGGGATCACTTATAAGAGAAAGCGATGGAGGAGCAGGTAGAGTAGAGGAGGGCAGAGGAGGAGGAGGAGCATCAGGGAGGAGGCAGCAAGAGGGGGGGAGACGACGACGAGGACGAGGAAGAGAAACGGGGTTCGGCCTCGCCACTCCCTCCAGCAGGACCTGGGAACGGTGAAGGATCGTCTGGACAGGCAGAGTATCATCCTGGAGGCCCTCGAGGATCGCCTCGGGCACAAAGAAAGGAGGAAGGGGGGGGGCGAGGGAGGGGGAGGGGGAGGGAGGAGGAGGAGGAGGAGGGAGGAGAGGAGGAGGAGGAGGGAAGGAGGGGGGGGAGTGGGAGGGGGAGGGGGAGTGGGAGAGGAGGAGGAGGGAGGGGGGGAGGGGGGAGGGGGAGGGGAGAGGAGGAGGAGAGGAGGGGGGAGGAGGAAGAGGGGAGGGGAGGGGGAGGAGGAGGAGGAGGAGGAGGAGGAGGAGGAGCAGCAGCAGCAGTAGCAGCAGCAAGGAAGCAGGAGGAGCAGGAGGAGCAGCAGGAGCAGGAGGAGGAGGACAAGCAGCAGGAGCAGGAGGAGCATGAGGAGGAAGGAGAAGCAGGAGCAGGAACAGGAGCAGGAGGAGGGGCAGGAGGAGGAGCAGCAGCAAGAGGAGGAGATGAAGCGGCACGCCCCGACCGCGGGCTTCGCGGCATCTCCCGCCGAGGACGTGGGCCGAAGAGCAAGTCAGGCAAGCCAGGGCAGCAAGGGCGCAGTGCGGAAGAAGAAGTGATCATTCAGATGAGTTGCCGGTTTCTCTTCGTCCTCTTCCGGAGACGAAGCGGTACGCGCCAACCGCGGGCTTCGCGGCATCCCCCGGCGAGAACGTGGGCCGAAGAGCAAGTCGGGCAAGCCAGGGCAGCAAAGGCGGGGCTCTGAAGAAGACTTGATCATCCAGATGGGCTGCCGCCTTCTCTTCGTCCTCCTCCTCCTCCTCGTCCTCCTCTTCCTCCTCATCCTTCCTCCTCCTCCTCCTCCTCCTCCTCCTCCTCCTCCTCCTCCTTCCTGCCTTCCCCCCCACCCAACATTGCAGCAGCCGTGTGGTATGACTTCCCCTGTGACCTCTGGGCGACCTGGTCGTGTGTAGTGCGTTGTGTGTTGTGTGTTGTGTGTTGTGTGTTGTGTGTTTGTTGTGTGTGTCGTGAGTGTTGTGTGTTGTGTCTTGTGTCTTGTGTGTCTGTGTGTGTGCGTGTGTGTGTGTGTGCGTGTGTGCGTGCGTGTGTGCGTGCGTGCGTGCGTGCGTGCCTGTGTATTGGCGTCTGTGTGTGAGTGTGTGCGTGCGTGTCTGTGTGTGTCTGCGTGTGTCTGTGTGTGTGTCTGTGTGTGTCTGTGTGCGTCTGTGTGTGTGTCTGTGTGTCTGTGTGTCTGTGTCTGTGTCTGGTGCGTGTGTGCGTGTGTGCGAGTGTGCGGGTTGAAGTTATTGCATAGCACGTTGAAAGCTTAGGAGTATCCGCAGTACACGTTAAGATGGTGATTCAAATGTTACGATAATTGTGGAAGGGAAGGGGGAGATCCCCTTTCAGAGTTTGTAGAAGCGTGGTTACGAAATACACTTGCATACTACAACAGCCAATCAAGAACCGACGGAGTTACGAGGGATGTTGAGCATCATTGTCACAGTGGTTACAAAACCATTGCTGCAGGGAAGTTGGAGGGACCAGGGACGTTCCCTTCCGACGCCTGCAAAGTGTGCTTAGCAGCCACATCACGCCTGGTAATCAACTCTCTGCAACATTCAGGCGCAGCTGCCACAAGAGGTGTCGTGCACTGTGGGAGAACCAGTCAGGTCACAGTCGAGGTTGATTAGTAGGTCAACCCTGCCAAATCAAGGGAGCCTTTGTGTCCTGTGTTTCGCGACCCATGCCTTCGACATTATTATGACTGCGTGGCCCCCGGAAGGGTCTTGTGTCATCTCGCGTGTCTTCAACAATGAACCCCGATTGCAGTTGTCGCCGGGCGTTCCTGCACGTTCAGGGCAGACGCAGGCCAGGACGAGGGGTTAGCAATCACAGTTCGGGAGGCGTCCGCGGGGTTGGTATCCCCCAGCCTCCCACACTACCAGACCTCCTTTGCCCTCCCACGTGTCCCTCCTTTTCTTATTTGTCATCCAGAATCCGCCTGTAGGGTTACGTCGGGCCTGTCCCCCTACAGGCCGATTTTGGACGAAAAATTGAAAATAGTAAAAAAAAAATATTCAAAATGGTATTTTAAAAAAATGCTCAAGAAATGGTCCCCAGACTATTGTTTTACTATGTTTGAATGTTCCTCCTGTAGAGGGACAGGCCTGACTTAACTGTAGGGGGACATGCCCGACCTGAGCGTAGCATGACCCCGCAGCCAGCAAAGATCGTAGCAGGCATGCCAAGTTCAGTTCCGCCGCAGCGCTATTTTGACACGCAGGAGTAGCTTTAAGTCGGGCGTGTCCCTCTACAGGGGGAATATTAAAAAAAAGTAGTCAACAACAATTGCCCGGGGACTGTTTTGCATGTATGTTTGATCATTGTTGACTGTTTTGGGGGGTATTTCTATTTTTTGCCCGACCTAAAAATAACTCCCAATGCAGGTGCAGCTTCACCCCAACGGGCCCCAGGCAGGAGGCTCACGGGTCGGCGCAGACCCAGGCAGCCAGGAGACAAGAGAAGTCGGCAGTGCGTGTGTGTCGTAACTCGGGCACGAACGAAATGGGCACGGAAAGAATGGGTACACTGCTCAACAGCAGTTCCTGTTCATTTTGAACCGGACTCGCTGTCCGCGCCGCCGCGGCCTGTGTCCATTTAAGACAGAAGGCCGCCTACCCAACAACGGCCGCTGTTGGTTTGGGACAACATTTGTTGTTGGGCATTGTATCCATGTTTCCCGTGCCCATTTCGGGCGTCCAAAGTAATGGCGTTCGCCGCGGCAGCCATCACCCAATGTTTTGGTAAGCAGTTCGTGCTCGTATCGTTTTACTCGGTCTGAGGTCAAGGCCGCTGTTGGCACCCAATGTCGGTTGCGAAGGCCGATTGACATATTCTAGATTGGTTTGCCATCGGGCTTAGCCGACGTAAGACGGTCCATATGTGCAGGCTGGCATGTAGGAGACTTCCTTCATGTCGGGGAATGGTTCGGGAAGGCATCGCGGAAGTTGGGAACACGGCGTGAGTTGGCGATTGACAAGTTGGCGCATTCAAAAACAACGTCAGAAAATGTATTATTGACAGTTCAATCGGCCACTAACCCAGAGTGGCAATTGTTCCCGAGGAGCCCAAGCAATGCCATGGGCAACAGCCCCTCTTGGCGCCATGTATTGGTATCGTTGAGAGTCAGGCTCCTCCGTCCTCCCTCCTCCCTCAGGGTTCGCTGGGACCGAATCGGAATCGGCAGCGCTCTGGGTAGACCCGAATGGCCAGTTCGTAGATGATTTGCCTGCGCTTTCTCGTAGCCTGCACCCCGCAAAGCCAAGCGAAGGTCAAAGAAATGCCAGAATCACAGCATCACCACTACAAGCATAATACGAATACGAATAACAAACAATGAAAGGCATCATCAGAACATCATCATCAGCAGCAACATCATCATCATCAGCATCGTCATCATCATCATCATCATCATCATCATCATCATCATCGTCATCATCCTCATCTTCTTCAGCATCATCAGCAGCAGCATCAGCAGCAGCATCATCATCATCAGCATCATCCTCATCATCATCAGCATCAGCATCATCATCGTCATCCTCGTCCCACGATCCTCCTGCGGCTTACTCCTCTCCCTCCTCCTCCTCCTCCTCCTCCTCTTCCTCCTCCTGCCAACTCCGAGCCGCCTAGCGTAGTCGTCTGCAGGCTCCCTCACATCCCCCCATGCTCCCTGGGACGGGGAGGGTGGATTCTTCCGTGGGGCATCGCGGATGTAGCACGTTGTAGATGTAGCGTAGTTTCTTCACGGTGTAGCTAGCCAGATTGTTTTACGTATCCACCTGGTCGTTTGAAGGGTCATGCCAACGTGTTTGTGTTGTGTTGTCGCTTGGTATGAGGGGGGGTGGATATTGCAGAATGAAGATTGAGAAGCAACACCAGGGGGGAACGATGCACGCGAGCGGGCGCTGAACCCAACTTGTCAGTCATCGCCCAGACCGCTGCTGCGGGACGCCCCCCCCATCCCCAGCACGTCTTTCTCGCCAGCTTACGTGTGAGGCGAAGTTCTCCGCAGAGTCCCCAGGCCGCCAGCGGAGGCTCAGAGCACACGCAAGAGTAAGGTCTTGTTGGGATTCTTCGGGAGTCGCCAGCAGATGCACGTGCGACCAGTCTCTCTGCCAGGTGGAGCGCGCATCGCGTTGGTCGTAGGTGTCGGCGGCAGTTTAAAGCACTGTTTTTTTACGCGAGGGCACGACTCACTCGTGAGGGTTCGTGCCCTCGCTGGGTCGCGTACTGTGTTCCCCGCTTGCCTGCGCAACACATCATATGCCCACTCCTTGTGTCCATGCCTTCCTGCCCCCCCTCGCTGTCTCCTTATCTCTATATCGCTCTCTTTCGCTACCTCTCTCTCTCTCTCGCTCTTTCATTCTAGGTGATGATTTCCGACGTCATCATCATGAGTTCCCCCTCCTCTCTTTTTTCTAGCTGCCTCCGCCGATCCCTCTCTCGTCCATGTCATTTCAACCCCTTTCCTTTGAACCGGCGGCGAGCGAGGTGCGGAAGTGAGAAGGAGGAGGCCTTCTCTCAGAAGGCGGCGGGGTTTCTCAGAAGCCCCCCGGCCTTCTGAGAAGTTGCTGCGGCGTCGGGGAAGGCTCGAAGCATGCCTCGGAACGCCCGAGGCCTTCGAGCCTTCCGGCGAGGCCCGCCCCCTCTTGGAGGGAGGGAGGAGGAGGAGGAGGAGGAGGAGGAGGAGGAGGGGGAGGAGGAGACTCCCCCCCTGTGTGCCCCTCACCGATATGAAAAAGTGGCACGCGTGCCCCGGCTCTTGCACCAAGGAGCTGCTAGAGACAGGAGGTTTTCGCCTCCTTCCTCCCAGGAGTTTACTTTTGTGGCCGTGGGGGGAGGACGAACGACGAACGAAGGAACGACGACGAAGGACAATAAAGAGGTCCGAGCTCTAGAGCACAGCTGTGCAAGAGAATAACTCCTCCCTGTCGCGCCCCGATATGGAGAGCTCCTCCCTGCCCGTTCGCCCGAGACGCCCTCGCCACTTCTGACCCTGAAGCCAGCAACTTGCAACAGCTTCACGGATGGCGGGCCAGCCGTTTTCAGAGTATTGTGCACATGTTTTCTGAAGTTGTTGTAAGTGTTTCACGGATGGAGGTAGGTTCATTATCGAAGTATGGTTCTCGTTTTAGCGCCGTTCACATTGTTGATAAAAGTCCGCAGTAGTTTCACGGATGGGGGGGGCGTTGTTTTCCAAATGTCGTTTTCGTGCCGCGCACAGTGGTTTTGCAAGTTCGCAAGAAGTTCATGGATGGAGGGCGGATCGTTTTCAGAATGTGGTTTTCGTCTTAGCGCCGCGCACATTCTTCTTAGAAGCGGTCAAGAGCTTCGCGGATGGAGCATTTGGTTCGCAAATTGTGGTCCTCGCCTTGGTGTCGCGCATTTTAGTTTTAAAACATCACAACATTTCAACGTGTCTTTGTTACGGCTGACGTCCCAGAAGTGGTCTGGAACGGTATCGGGTTCTCAGGGCGCAGCAGTCGCGTTGATTCGGGATTTTGAAGTCCCAGGAATGGTTTTCTATTACGATTCAGGGTCGCCAGGACGCAACAGT